GCCCGGGGCCCGGCGAGCTGGGCAAGGTCAAGAAGGAGCAGCAGGACGGCGAGGCGGACGATGACAAGTTCCCCGTGTGCATCCGCGAGGCCGTCAGCCAGGTGCTCAGCGGCTACGACTGGACGCTGGTGCCCATGCCGGTGCGCGTCAATGGCGCCAGCAAGAGCAAACCGCACGTGAAGCGGCCCATGAACGCCTTCATGGTGTGGGCGCAGGCGGCGCGCAGGAAGCTGGCCGACCAGTACCCGCACCTGCACAACGCCGAGCTCAGCAAGACGCTGGGGAAGCTCTGGAGGTGAGCACGCGCCCGCTGCCGCCGGGGACCCCGCGGGCTGGAGCCAGGCTAGAGCCCCGACCCCCACAGAGGGCATCGGCTGGCTGTTCTCAGGGACAGCCGCCTCCTTGGATAGGACGGGATGACCGGGTGTGGGGACCGTGCCCACCAGTACCCCCTTAGGGTTGCGCTCGTTCCAGACCCAGGAACTCAGAACTCCAGCGGCCTAGGCTGGGGCTCCACACCCGGGGCAGGGGGCTGGACGGCGCCCCCTTGTGGTTGGAATTCTGTCGGTGGCAGGCGGGTGTGCCTGGGTTTTTTCCTTGGGGGAGCGAAGAGGAGAGAGAAGGACAGATGGGGTAAGAGGTCCACCCCACAGGCCTTACTAACCCCCTAACACACACGTTCAAGGTGCTTCTACCATCCAGGGCCAGTGAGGGCAGGGTGATGAGGTAGAAACACTCGCTAAAGAACTGACAACTGACGGCCTGGCCCCGCCTGGCCAGAGATGCAGGGAAAGTGGGGCAGCCAGACAGAAAACTGAGGGGAAGTCTGAGGAAAAAGAGGAATTCAGACAAGAGTCTTTGGAGGAAAGGCTGAGAGGTGGGGACGTGCAATGGAGTTAATATCTACCGCTGCTTGACCCATCCTGCCCGTCTGCCTTCCCTGACTGCCACCCTCTGCCAAGCTGAGGGCTTCCTCATCCCCTGGTGGACAGACATGCAGAAAAGACCTCTCCCTACACCCTGTCCCAGAGCCCCAGGCTGGCCTCTGTCCCTCCCTCCATCTACGGGATGGGCGTCATCTTCCCCTCAGAGCCCCACCCAGGGTTGAGTAACCTTCTCCCCCAGCGCCTCGGAGCTGGGACTGAGCACCCCGGCAAGGAGGAAACCTCGGCCACCTGCCCACCCTGGTTCCCTCAGAATACCGGGCTCCCTGGGCCTAGCCAGAGCCTCTGGGGAAAACATCCCCCCAGAAGGACCCTCACCTCAGCTGTGGGGCTCATCCTTAGGGATATGTGGAGCAGGGCAACATGTGCCCATTCAGGAGCCCCCGGGCATCAAGAGATGCAGCCCTGGGAGGCCACCTGACCCAGCCCACTAGACCGCCCAAGAATTAGGCCCAGAAGGACAAAGGAGCGAAGTTCATGGAGGAAGTCTGGCCAGAGCCCAGTCCTCCTGAGTGGTCTTCCCTCACACCACCCTTGGTGACAGCGTGGGTCACTGCTTCACTCTAAGGTGTGGCCAGGAAGTTAAGGGGATGAGGACAGAGGAGAGCAGGGGTGAGGCAGCCAGGATTTCAGGAAGTTTGGGCTTCGTCAGAGGAACCAGCCTCCCTTCTGTTGCTGCCCTCCCCTTTGCAGGCTCGATAGAGACAGGGTGTAAAAGGCCAAGGGCTCAGAGTGGTGGAAGAAGCAGGAGGGGCCCCCAAGAGACCAAGAGGGATTCACATCAGCTGCTCAGCCCTGTTCCTTGCCATGTGGTTTGCTGAAGGCCTGGTATGCCCCTTCCTGCTTGAACTCTCAGCCTTCCGCACTTCTGCCTGTCCTAAAAGGGCCCCAGCCCCAGGCTCACTGGCCAGTCTGCTTTTTGGACCCAGAAGGTCTAACTCTGTCC